TGGAAAAACATATTCAAAAGGAGATCATTTTCTTTCCTTTTCTCTGCTTTTCCTGGAAAATTTTTTGCAGAAGAAAGAAAAAGAATGGAGAAGAGAGGAGAAACACCAGAACACCCCGTGAAGGCCTTTGGTTGGGCAGCCACCAAACCATCTTCCCATATCTCCCCTTTCCATTTCTCCAGAAGGTCCCTCTCTCTCTCTCTCTCTCGTTTTTTCAAGAGATGTGTTTAATATATAAGAAGGAAAATATTTGCAGGGAAACAGGTGAAGAAGACGTGAGGATAAAGATACTGTACTGTGGAGTTTGCCACTCCGATCTTCACAGCATCACCAATGACTGGAATCTCTTCGTCTTCCCTATTCTTCCCGGGTATTCTCTCTCTCTCTCCTGTTCTTCGATCTTCTTCAAACAATTCTTACTTCATAAACTGTTACTGTACGTAGACACGAAGTATCTGGAGAAGTAACCCAAGTGGGGAACCGGGTCACGAGATTCAAACCGGGTGATCGGGTTGGAGTCGGATGCATCGTCGGGGCGTGCCACACGTGCGAAGATTGCTCCCACGGTCTCGAGAACTACTGTCCCAAAATGATCCTATCGTACGGAATGATCGACCGTGACGGAACCCTAACGTACGGAGGTTATTCCGACCACATGGTCGTCAACGAGCGGTACGTCGTCAGGTTCCCCGACAACATGCGGCTCGATGTCGGAGCGCCTTTGTTGTGCGCCGGCGTCACGATGTACAGTCCGATGAAGCGGTTAGGGCTGGTCGGACCGGAGAAGCATGTCGGTATCGTCGGGCTCGGAGGGTTAGGTCATGTCGGAGTGAAATTCGCCAAGTCGTTTGGGGTTAAAGTTACTGTGATAGAAATCGATGAAGGGAAGAGAACCGATGCTTTAGATAAATTCGGAGCTGATTCGTTTATTCTTAGCAATGATGAAGAAGCCATCAAGGTAACTGATTTTTATTTTTTTTAAATAAAAGTTTTGAATAATCGTAAGGTTGCATGGAAATGGAATGAAATTTCACGTATTGAGAATAGGGAGCGATGAATACGATGGATGCGATTATAGACACGGTGGCGACGTATCATCCTCTGCCGCCTCTGATTGGTCTTCTTAAGACACGTGGCACTCTCGTAATGGTCGGAGTATCGGACAAACCTCTCGAGTTGCCGGTCTTGCCTCTTGTCATGGGTAAAACTATTATTTATTTTCCGTCCTCATTTGCCTCGTATATATATATATGATATTTTTTTTTATCTTAATACTTCCGATATCATTTGTTTTTTGGATTACCCTTCTGCTATAATATAATACAAAAAAAATGAAGCTATTATGCGTTATGCAAATATCAAATGTTTGAAAGAATATAACTCAATGGTAAGGTATGGTTTGAAGGAGCTCATTGAAGACATCTTGTAACACGTATGTAAAATACATTTCAGTCTCAAAATGAATTTATATATGATGGTACTATAATTACAGATAAATTATTCCCTAAGAACTACAATTTATTTATTTATTTATTTTATTTTTTTTGGCTGATGTTCGTATAGGGAGGAAATCAGTGGCGGGATCTATGCTCGGAGGGTTGAAAGAGACGCAAGAAATGATCGATTACGCGGCGAACCATAACATAACCCCAGAGATTGAGATAATCCCTATGAGCTATATCAATACAGCCTTCGACAGACTTGCCAAGGGCGATGTCCGATACCGTTTCGTCATCGACATTGCCAACACCCTGCAGTCCGCCAACCTCTAAGACGACAAGAATTGCCTCCCTCGTGTCTATAAACGACAAAACAGCTCGTGTTCCATTTTGAAACGTAATTGTGTTGTGGCCTATATATGTGTGTGTTCCGAGTATACGTACAACTATGGGTTTCAACCATTTGAGTGATCGCAACAAAATATAAGGTTGCATGTATTACGTATTAAGATAATCGTAAATCCCAACAACAGTCTTGGGGGAAAATATATAAATATCATTTAAATAAAATGGCCCTTAATTAGGGTTTTCTCGTGGATCCCACCATAACATTTGCTTTCTCTTGCATGCATGAACTTCGTTACGTAGACGTCTGTATATTCATGCAAGATCCACGTACGTACGAGCTAGTCTGTATAAATTGTGATATAAATATATTGTTAAGAATAACCTAGTCCATGCATCGATATTGTAACTATAGGAAAAGTTCGAAAACAATATTCATGTGATAACGCAAGATATCCTCGCGATGTGGCTAAATTAATAATCCCGGATTAGAACTGTATATTATAGTTGATATATAGTAATTAAAAGTTTCTCCCTCACCCAACCGTTGGTGGTCCAGTGGTTGATTCCATTAATGGGAAGAGATGTAATTTTTGGATTAAAAAGGTCCATATACAAAGACTGGTTCCGGACCTAGGGTGGATGTAGTCGGGCCGAAGGTCCGAGGAACTATCCTGTTATAAAAAAAAAGTTATTTAGCTGGTATCATTCTTCAAAACCATATTGGGCACAATGTAGTTGGTTGTAGAAAATTCGAATCCAATAGCATTTAAGTCTAACTAATCGGCTTTTTTGAAGTCTGACTTTTTATTTATATCTTTTATGATTATTTGTTCACGTTTTTTCCGATTGTTTCGTTCGTTTAAAAACTAATATTATATGAATATCCAAACTTCACATTTAAGTCCAATATAGATTGAAATAATCGCCCTACGCCCTATGGAAAACCGGGCCTGAAACCACAAGAATTGTCCCCCTGTTTTCTTGAAACGACAAGCAATTTATTTTTGGGTTGCTCACCTTTTGGGAGAAACGGTTCGGGAGTGGGGAGTGGGAAATATTTGATTCGAGAATATTCCTAAAAAAGACGAAATGGTCAAAGAATCCATGGATGACGCATCTCAAACGTGCTCGTGCCACCGTTTTAATTTATCGGTTATCGGCAACTTATAGGTTACGTTGTGATAATTATTCTGGGTTTGAATCGATCAGATACAAAGAATTGTTAATTAAGCAGTTTTTTTTTTATCTGTTTTGGGTTAATAGTTGCATCATGCAAGTAGTCGTATAACTTTCATTCATGTCAGAGGGGACATTTGCAAAACCCAATAATAATAGCTTGAAAGAAAACCTAGCTCTTCGGTATAGAGGTTTCCATTCAATCTTTGTAGTAAGGTACTTTGTAGTAAAATACAATAGAATATTCTATGTATAATATTTAGGATAAATCATAATCATATTAATGATAATATCTTTCTATATGTCTCTAAGATGAATCATCTATGATAAATCCAATCTTGTTATATAAAATCTGAAATTGTAACCGTGTTAAACGAATCATCTTTCACATGGTGATTTAGTTCAAACTTGATTCGGTGTTGCTTGATAACGTTTGAAGAGTTTGAGAATTGTAATCTTAGAGACTGGTGTGATACTGATGTGCGCATATGCGGGAGTTAGGTTGTACGACAATGAAATCGGTAGCGCAAAAAATTGCAGTGTGTATAGCGGTTAGGACGGAGAAAAAATAAAAAATAAGGGCACAAAAAATCATGATGCATAATACGTGATAGTTGTGAGGTCGCCAATGAAAAAAAAGTGATGCAAATACGCGAATCGATGATCGGAGTTTTCTAATCGTGAAAGGGGCTAAAAACCAGATTTAAAGATTTCACAACGGCTAGGATTGATGTCAGTAAATGGACGTCGTCGAAAAATGGAAAAAAAATGACATTGGATAGGGTTGATGGTGATAAGTATCGACGTTGAAAAAAAAAACTAGAAAAAAAAAGAACAAAAGGATGCAAGATACTACCTAAGGTGATGATATTATTGGATGTAGTATATTATCGTCGCTTTCGTATTCAACCAACATTATTGATGAGAAAAAAACTTAGAACAAAAACCAGAATCTAATACGATATGAGAAAATGTTTTTCTATTAATGATGATTTTTAAGATACACGAATGAAATATTTTTGATATAATATTTATGATAAATTATAATCATACTAATGATAATATCTCCGTATACTACATACGGACAACAAAGTTTTCCGTGCAATTCTCTTGATTCGAAATATTGTAACATTTCTTCAAATTGAAGAGTCACATTTCCTTTTTGTTGGATCAATTCTTTTGTACATTCAAAATAAACATCATTTATATCAGATGATATTTTTCTAATTGATAGAAGAATTGAATATTAGAGATGAGAAAAAGATTCTTCTAAAAATTTTGAGATGTTTTGGTATAAAAGGGACACGTGTATATATATATTGCAACGAATCGTTACAGCACAACAAATATTCATTGCAATTTCATTACAAAGTATTGTATTTTCATTTTAACTACGTTACAATTTCGTTACAAAATATTTTCATTGCAAACGTTGCAATGGAAAAAGTTTCATCGAAAATTGTTGCAAAAACGTTGTTTTTTTTTAATGAATATTGGTTAACTTTTTTCCAATTTGTAAACCATTTGGAGAGTAAATTTTAATAGGAGATGGTAGATTCTGTCTCTTAATTAATTATATATGGTTATAATACCAATTTCATTATTTTATTTCTATTAATATTTAATGAAACATGAATTAGAGAAAAATACATCTAATATCTTCCAAAACCATCTTCAGCTGATTATGTATCTCCGATATTTGTGATGGTTCCTGTTTATTGGAATGGTAAAAAATGAATCAATGATTTATTTAGCAAATATAATATATAAGGAAAATACAAAGTCTAAATGAATGACAAACAAAAAATAGTTTTTCATGATGCTGATTAAATAAGAACTTGGATCGTATTGGGCACGATATAAGTGTTGGTTGTAGGAATAAGGAAAAATAAAGTCAAACGAAATTAAATTAATGTAAGGACAAAATTTTAATCCAATTCATTGTTCACTGTTATACGAACTAAGAATTGAGAGGCGCCAAGTAATTAGCTACCTCTTTTCCCCTATAAGTAAGCCTAAAAATATCTTCAAAGGGGAGCATTTTCTTTTCTTTTTCTCTCCTTTTCCTGGAAATTTTTGCAGAAGAAAGAATGGAGAAGAGAGGAGGAACAACAGAACACCCCGTGAAGGCCTTTGGTTGGGCAGCCACCAAACCATCTTCCCATCTCTCCCCTTTCCATTTCTCCAGATGGTCCCTCTCTCTCTCTCTCTCTCTCTCTCTCTCTCTCTCTCTCTCAAGAGATGAGTTTAACAAGAAGGAAAATATGTGCAGGGGAACAGGAGAAGAAGACGTGAGGATAAAGATACTGTACTGTGGAGTTTGCCACTCTGATATTCACAGCATCACCAATGACTGGGGTTTCTTGGTCTTCCCTTTTCTTCCCGGGTATCTCTCTCCAGTCTCATTTTCTTTTGTTCTTTGTCACGTTACCAGGTTCGAAAGTCTGAAAAATATGCGGCTCCTTTATTCGAGCTTTTACATTCACTTACATACATTCATTCTCTAACTTGACCTAGCCTATAATTTAGGAAATACAATCTCTAAATATAACAACTTCACGTAATATTCATATTGTTAGTATTTGTGGCTCAAATTATGTTTAGAAGACTTTGCATGTACTTTATATTATATGGTTTATGTGTATTAGTTGGTTTTATATTACGTATTGCAGTTTTATAGAAATTTTAAATGTAGTTTAATGTTTTAGTGGGTGAGTAACTGTTTGCACAGTTACATTTCGTGTCTTATATGTTTAAATTAATTTGTAAATAATAAACCGTATAAATTCATATATAACAAACGGGATCTAAAATTTATTAGAAATAATAATTACACGAAAGAGTGAGGTGTTAGGCTTACTCTTTGAGAGGAATTCACAATAATCAACACATATATATCAAATTACCCCCTCAAGTTGGAGCATATATGTCATATGTGCCCAACTTGTCTAAGAAGAGTTCGAATTCTTTCTTGATGAACTGTACGTAGACACGAAGTATCTGGAGAAGTAACCCAAGTGGGAAACCGGGTCACGAGATTCAAACCGGGCGATCGGGTCGGAGTTGGCTGCCTCGTCGGGGCGTGCCACACGTGCGACGATTGCTCCCATGGACTCGAGAACTACTGTCTGAAAATGATATTATCGTGTGGAGCGATCGACCGTGACGGAACCGTAACGTACGGAGGTTACTCCGACCACATGGTCGTCAACGAGCGGTACGTCATCAGGTTCCCCGACAACATGCGGCTCGATGTCGGAGCGCCTTTGTTGTGCGCCGGCGTCACAATGTACAGTCCGATGAAGCGGTTAGGGCTGGTCGGACCGGAGAAGCATGTCGGTATCGTCGGGCTCGGAGGGTTAGGTCATGTCGGAGTGAAATTCGCCAAGTCGTTTGGGGTTAAAGTTACTGTGGTAGAGATCGATGAAGGGAAGAGAACCGATGCTTTGGATAAATTCGGAGCTGATTCGTTTATTCTTAGCAATGACGAAGAAGCCATCAAGGTAACTATTTTTTTTAAATTGTTATCTATTTATAAATGTTTTGAATAATCGTAAGGTTGCATGGAAATAAACGAAATTATACGTACTTAAAATAGGAAGCGATGAATACGATGGATGCGATTATAGACACGGTGGCGACGTATCATCCTCTGCCGCCTCTGATTGGTCTTCTTAAGACACGTGGCGCTCTCGTAATGGTCGGAGTATCGGACAAACCTCTCGAGTTGCCGGTCTTACCTCTTGTCATTGGTAAAACTATTCTTTATTTTCTGCCCTCTCTCTCTCGCACATATATAAATTGGGCGAATGATATTATCCCGAAATTTGGATGTAGAGCTAATTTTTTTCTTAATACTTCTGATATAATTTGTTTTTTTGGGTAACCCTTCTGATATATTATAATATAAAAAAAGTGAAGCCATGCAATATCAAAGGTTTGAAAGAATATATCATTGTAGATTTCTTCTAACACAATTATAAAATACATTTCAGTCTCAGATGAAGTTATTACGTACGATCTTAAATATAACTGTATTATTATAGATAAATTTTCATTCCCAAAGGGAATAATTTTTTTAAGTTCGTATAGGAAGGAAATCAGTGGTGGGATCTATGATCGGAGGATTGAAAGAGACGCAAGAAATGATCGATTACGCGGCGAACCATAACATAACCCCAGAGATTGAGGTAATCCCTATGAGCTATATCAATACAGCCTTCGACAGACTTTCCAAGGGCGATGTCCGATACCGTTTCGTCATCGACATTGCCAACACCCTGCAGTCCACCAACCTCTAAGACGACAAGAATTGCCTCCCTCGTGTCTATAAACTACAAAACAGCTCGTGTTCCGATTCGAAACGTAATTGTGTTGTGGCCTATATATGTGTGTGGCCGAGTATACGTACAACTATAGTTTTCAACCGTTTGAATAATCGCACCAAAATATAAGGTTGCATGTATTACTTATTTAGATAATCGTAAATCCCAACAACAGTCTTGGGGAAAAATATATAGATATCAATGGAATAAATGGTCCTTAGGGTTTTCTCGTGGAGCCCACAATAACATTTGCCTTCTCATAAGAAAAACGCTTGCCTTCTCGTGCATGTCTGCATACTCATGCAAGGTCCACGTACGTACGAGCTAGTCTATATAAATTGTGATCAATATATTGTTAAGAATAACCTAGTCCTTGCACGATCCATGGGCGGATCTATATTATAAGCTATGGGCCCTCACTCATTTTATTTAAGAAACTTAATTTCATTATAAATTTCATAAATTTCGAACAAAAATTGTTAAATGCCCCCATAAAAAATTTAAATTTATCCCTTAAATTATAATAATTTTTATATTGACTCCATTGATAAACTTTTCTAGATTGCATCGATATCGTAACTATGGGAAAAGTCCGAAAACAACGTTCTGGTAAATCTGTTTGGGACATCAGATTTCAATCAAAGAGAAGCTGGATGTGGAGGAAGATTTTAAAATATAGGGACCTTTGGTAATTAATGGTGTTTCGTGCAGTTTCTGGTTTGACTCACGGCTACCTCAAGGACCTTTGATCTCTTATTTAGGTGTATGTGGACCAAGATTGTTGGGTTATCCATCGGATGGCTACTGTTGGTGAGGCATGCAATGCTGATGGGTGGCTGATTCCCCGGGCTAGCTAGGAACTCTTCCGTCGAGGATATACACCGGAGCCTACTATCTATTTACCTACCATCCGACTCGATGGAAAACGATGTCTACTACTGGTCTACATGTCATGTATAAACAAGTGAATTTGAGGCCTTTCTCAACAGCTCGTGCATGGAAGTTGTTTTCTTTACCCTTAGCCCAAGTTCCTTGGGCTGACTCGGTTTGGTTCAGACACGCCATACCTAAGCATGCATTCACCTGCTGGTTAGCTGCGCGGAACAGACTGCCGACTAGGGATCGACTGGCTTCTTGGTACCCGAACTCGGTGCTTCGATGCCTACTTTGTGATGATGGGGACTAGAGCATTGATCACTTGTTCTTCGATCGTGACTACTAAACGTTTTTGTAAACCAGAAACTTTAGAACAGAGATGAAGAGGATGAAAGAAGTTTCTTTTCTATTTGTTATATTGTAGACTATACAGAAGTTTATATACAACTTGTCCAACGTCTATATGATTGCAAGTAAAGAAACATAATCAATCAAGAATCAATGAGAAATATTACAGAATATTGCATGACCTGATTGTATGCAAGTTTCCTATTAGCTTCAGCCTTCCTTTTCTGTTACAGCTGTAGATTGTCCTTGTTCTGTTTAGAGTGATCACAGTCATCTCGTGTTTCTTCAGATATATGTAGCTTATCATTCCCCCTCAAGCTGGTAACGCGATTATCAGCGATACCAAGCTTGCTAAGAAATGAAAACAGGATGTGAGAGCTGGTGGACTTAGTGAAAATGTTGGCCAGCTGATCAGAACTTTGTGTAAAGACAGTAGACAGGATACCTGATTGTATCCTTTCACGGATGAAGTGGCAGTCGACTTCGATGTGTTTAGTGCGTTCATGGAAAACAGAGTTTGCAGCGATATGGATTGCGACTTGATTATCGCAGTGCAATGGGATTGGTAAGGATGGAGGACAGGTGAGATCATGGAGCAGTCCTTTGAGCCAGAGTATCTCAGAAACAATGTTGGCCATAGATCGATACTCAGCTTCTGCGCTTGATCGGGAAACCACCGGTTGTTTCTTGCTTTTCCAAGTGACGAGATTACCACCGACAAAAGTACAGTAGCCAGAAGTGGATTTCCGGTCTGAACGATCGCCCGCCCAATCCGCATCGCAATAGGCTGCGACATCGGTGTTGCTGTTGCACGTCATCCAAATGCCGTGAGTTGGGGTTCCTTTTAGATACCGCAGGATCCTCTCCACCATGTGCCAATGAGCATTTGTTGGGCTATGCATCCATTGCGAAACCTGATTGACAGCATAAGAGATGTCAGGACGAGTGATGGTTAGGTAGATTAACTTACCTACTGCCCGTCGGTATTGCTCGATGTCGGCGTAAGCTTCCCCCTCACGATGTTCTTTGTATGCCGTTTCCAGCGGTGTTTTTGCTGGTTTCGAGCCTAATTTTCCAGTGTCTTTAAGTAAATCCATTGTGTATTTGCGCTGAGACAAGAACAAGTGATTAGTAGACCGAATGATCTCGATGCCAAGGAAGTAATGCAAGGCACCGAGATCAGTAATGTCAAATGTAGAATGCAGAAAGGATTTCGTTGCCTGAATACCAGTAGAATCATCACCCGTTATGATAATATCATCAACATAGATTAAGATGACAATTATACCGATATCAGTGTGTCGAGTGAATAAGGAATGGTCATGTTCAGACCTCGTGAAGCCATTACGCGATAAAGCCTGATGCAACTCAGGCACGTGGGGATTGCTTTAACCCGTAAAGGGATTTTCGCAGACGGCATACTTTGGTTTTGTCAAGATGATCACGAAGGCCGGGAGGTGGTTCCATGTAAATTTCTTTCTCGAGATCACCTTGGAGGAACACATTTTTCACATCCATCTGCCAAAGATCCCAATTACAGTTAATAGCAACAGAAAGAATAACTCGAAAGGATTTCAGATTTGCCACTGGGGCAAAAGTGTCGGTATAGTCCTCTCCAAATATCTGTGTATAACCCTTGGCCACTAGGCGAACCTTGTATCGTTCAATATCCTCGTTGCTACGGTGTTTGATCTTGAAAATCCATTTGCTTTTGATAGCTTGTTTGTGTGGTGGTAAATCTGTGATTTCCCAGTTTCTATTTTTTTGTAATGCTGATATTTCTTCAGCCATAGCATCTCTCCATATTTTGTGATGTTTAGCTTGAGTGTAACAGCTGGGTTCTATATCCTCGTCAATCCTGCGAAGGAAGGACATTTCGTGAACATGTAAGTGAGTAATAGAATAGCATGATTGAATGGGATATTGAACCAGAGTATGAGAAGTAGTAGAATCAGAAGACAGAAACGAGGAAGAAAGATGAACTCCTGTATTTGCAGTGTGATCATAGTTTCTGTATGATTTTGGTTGAAGACCATCTGCTTCACGTTGGAGAGCTTTGAGATGGAGTCGTTCACTGCGGCGAGGAGCAAGTTGAGGCGCATGATTGATCTCATCTCGTGTTTCGTCGGCAAGAATCGGTTGTGCAGCCGGAGAGGTAGGATTTGTCGAAGTTGGAGATGCTGGATATGCTGTAGGAGAATCTGCAGAAGACACAGCAGGGGAAAGAACAGGGGAAGACGACGATGCAGGTGATGAAATATTTACCTCAGGAGCAAACTCAGTTCCTGTGAAAGAACCATCGGTTTGCTCAGAAGAGGTTAGTGGAGCGATGTCGCGATTATGCTTGAAGGCATCAGCAAGAAGTTGTAATACAGTTTGGTTATAATTAGGACAGCTGGAAGGAGTGTCTTGAGATGAGTGCTCTGCATTCACGAAATATGATTGGTCTTCAAAGAACCGGACATCTCTAGATGTATATGTCCGACGAGTTGGAGGGTGAAAGCACTTGTATCCCTTCTGATTAGGAGGATATCCGAGAAACACACATTTGATTGCCTTTGGATCCAGTTTGCTGCGCTGAGAATCTGGTAGTAGAGGATAACAAACAGACCCAAAAACTCGTAAGTGATCAAGGTTTGGTTGTTTACCATGGAGTACCTCATAGGGAGAAACGTTGTTCAAAATTTTCGTTGGGATGCGATTGATCGTGTAGCATGCAAAGGCCACTGCATCATTCCAATAGAATTTGGGAACATTTCGAGAGAACATCACAGCTCGAGCAACTTCAAGTAAGTGGCGATTCTTCCTTTCGGCAACGCCGTTTTGTTGCGGCGTATAAGGACACGTGAGCTGTTGAACAATTCCATTTGCTGCAATGTATTCCCGAAACTTGTTGCTGACATATTCTCCGCCATTATCTGTACGCAAGATTTTTATCTTTGCACCAAACTGAGTTAATATATAAGCATGAAACTGTTTGAACACATAAAAAACATCGACTTTGGAAATGAGAAAGTATATCCATGTATATTTAGACTTTTCATCTATAAAAGTAACAAAGTATTTGAATTTGTCATGAGAATGAGTAGGAGATGTCCATATATCAGAATGTATTAGATCGAAACATGCATCATATATAGAATTGGAAGTAGGAAAGACATTGTGACAAAGTTTTCCAAGAATGCAAGCCTCGCAATTTTTATTATTGAACTGTGTTTTCGGAAAAAGCAAGTCTAAAACTCTGGAATGGCAATGGCCTAATTGATCGTGCCATAGTGAAGGGGAAACTGAAGTCACAGAAAAAACAGATTCCGGACAAAATAGTGGATCTTCAAACACATATAAAGGAGATTAGTGTGGAAAGTAAGAGCAATGCGGAAAATCTGATGTAAACTTTGAAATAGAAAGGAGATTAGTATGTCTGAGTTTTGTTAACAACATCTGTACTAAACAGATTTATTTTTCCTTTTCCCTTAATGGGAACATAATTTCCATTTGCAACTGAAACAACGCCATGAATATGTCTGAGTTTTGTTAACAATTTTGCATTACTAATCATATGACTAGTTGCATCAGAATCAATAATGAGAGAGTTAAGAGAATGAGAGGATAAGTTACCGTTCTCCTTGTCTTTCAGAGCAAGGAGGATTTGTTTCAGTTCTGACATGTCTGATGGAGTTAAGGTAACAGCATCTGCAGTGTGAGCTTTGCCACGGAGAGGAACATTGTCTTTGAATTTGGCAGGTTTGAGATGCCGGTGAAGAAGCCAACAACGCTCTTTGGAATGACCCGAACGTTTGCAATGATCGCAGAAGAAGTTTGGTTTGTGTTTCAGGACTGGGCTAGACAAAACGGTGTTCCTACGAAAATGAGCAATCTCACTTGGTCCGGCAAAGAGATTGTGGCCGCCTTCTTCCCTTTTAATTAGCATACAGACGTCGTCGTATGTTGGTAATTTTTCCAGACGAAGGATATGATATATCATATCATTATAGCTGGCATCCAGCGTGAGAAGCATAGAGAA